TTCACAAGGGGGTGAGGGGGGAGGAACATCAAAGTGAGAAAAATTCGAGAGGGAAAAAAAGTGATACAAGGATGTAAAAGAGATAGACTGACCCAAAGGCAGAGAAAATGTTATGTGAGTACTGTGGAAGTAGTGGAATATGACATACAGTGGGGTCATGGTAGCTGGAAGATAGGAGTCAACTGCCGGTTTATAGACTCTTTGCCGCAAGAGTATACATTACCCAGGGTGCACCACGTGGAGGTAAGTCTATCGCACATACGTCAAAGACAGAGCCCACGACAAGACTTTAACATCGCAAAGTCAAGAAATCACATCCTTTTCTATTGAGCTTGGTGGGAGTCGAGATCTTTAGGTTTCCAGGAGAACAAGTAAGTTAATTAATGGATTAGTCTATCCATTCTGAACTGCTTCACTTGTCCCCTTTCTAATTTGGATTATTCATAATTAGAGATTCCTGTTTTGATCTCTTATAGCCATTTTTTCTCTACTCCAATTAATTACCTCACTAATTACCACTAAGTTTGGAGAGTCTTTGACAAATCCGCAATAGTTAAGCTCGTTTCCTGCTAGTATATATTTACCCAAGATCTAAAAGCCTGAACATGATTATTTCATTTACATTATATGCTTTTTCGCACTCGGTTTTCACGTACTTGAGTATCCATACTGATTCTTTTGGACGATCTTAACTTATTCCGTTTTGAGTTAAGAAAGCGAATAGTTTTTTAAGCTGCCAGTGGTTTCTCGACCGATTTTATCATGTGGCAGTGGAAAGGAAGTTTTTAGACGCTATTAAATATGACTCGAAATGTAGTTAAAGTAAGGCGAATTTGAAATTTTAAAAGGACTAAATACGCTACTACTTTGAGGAATGCGCCACAATTGCTTGAATCATATATAATGCATTCAGTTAACTAGATTTAAGTGTGTCGATTTTTCAAGGTATTGGAGAATGTATAAACGACCTCGATCACGCAATGGGGACAAAGGCCAAGCTGAGAACCAAATGTGTATAATATTCAGAAGTCTGAACATCACATCATCAATGATCAAATAACCACCATTTTACTAAGTGATTAATGCTGATTATTATTATTAATAGATGACAGTGCTCTCGGTAGTCAATTGCCCAGTACGATACGACTCATTTCGCCGTGGAGTTGTTGCAGTACCAAACGATCGGACAGGGATAATCACATCGCCAGCCTGCGAAGAGGCTATCCGATTAGCTCAGTATGCTAAGTATTCTGCTTGGTCACCCATTACTGGAGCGCCTGACACATCAGATCCAATGGGCCAGCATTTCTCTCAACCTCTGCCTCTGACATTCGGTCGTGTGCCGCCCGAGGTAAGCCTATCATTCTATTAGGTTAATTTAACGCACAAAATAACTTCTTTAACAGTAATAGACAATAGAAAGAAAATTTATATTGTTTAGTTATAAAATAAATCCAGCATCAGTTATGGGACTGACTATGCATGAGATACATTAGTAAGAAATGAGATAAAGCAAAAGCTATGGAAATTTATGTTATTCTTACAAGGTTGCACAAAGTTAGGACTAAAAGGGGTTCGTTACTTCCCAAAACTACTACCGAGAATTCTCTAACTCTTGCGTTTTATTAAAAAGATCTTTAATTCTGATAAAGAAATAGCTTCATATTAAGGTATTATTTCTCTTTTGGTCTAAGATAATTTGAATTTATATTTCACTGGATCTAAATATGAAGCGCTCTGTGATAAATAGAGATTTAAGTGCGGAAATTTATTTACTTTTTCAACTTTAAACCATTTCATTTAATTTTATTAACAGGTCAGTTGAATTTTGTCTATGTTATAAATTGGTCAGATGCACGTACTGTAGCCCAATTCATCCTTTTTCTTACTCATTGAAGCCTACTTTTATCCTCTAGAATTAGTAAGATGGTTGTTTCAATTATTGGATAACAAGTATGACTTGGTCAGGCTCATAAAATGGCTTTAGTATCCAATTCCAGGTACTTTAAGGCCTTTACATATTAGTGACTGATGTTGTTCCTCTTTGTTTCTCATTTCCTTTGAAACAAAGGAAACATTTCTCTCGAGATACCTTTAAGCTGTTAAATCTGCGCGACGGCCCTTGCATAATTACTTAGCATCTTGATTCCAAAATGGAAGTATAAAAGTAAGACGGAAATTATGATAAATGAAGTGGATGTGTGGGGGGAGGGCGAATGAATCTCATCAACTTCGCGTTTATCGCAAATAGCGTTGTTTATAGAGTTAGGTGATTCAGTTCTTGAGTAATTGATAATTCACACTTTAATTAACGGCAAAAATACCTTCAAACCAACCAGTGATCTTAACCAGTAGTTTAAGCACTTTTGCGTTTTCTGCATCTGTCATGGTCTCCTCGATCTCGACAAATAGACTGTCAACTGGAAGAGCGCAATACCCACATATTATCCTGGCGTCCTACCAGGACCATTTAAATATAGTGATTACTATATCATCAATATCCATTTGACTGCAAAATTCAATCGCACTCTTTAAAAAATTGAAAAAATGTTGAAATCTAAGTTGCAGAAAGTAGCTGAATTGAGTTAAAGTTAAACAGCTGGTGATCCTTCCCCTCTCCTTTCATTTCTTATTTCGCCTTTTCAGTCTAAGTGCCGGAACTTCCGGTTGACCAACTCACGACTGCCTGTCTGGATAATAAATAAACGACTATTCATCATAGTTTATAACACTTTCCTTGACTTTTACTCAGTTACTTAAATCAGTCAGGGAAACTTCATAACGTGATTCGAGGCACATGGCGATGTGGCTTTTTATAGCTTTTCTCCTTTGAAATTTATAATTTATATTCGTTCTGGTACGCAATAACGCTTCATAAAAAAGCCTGCTTGATTGCAAATGTCCTCGTGCCTATGCATGTATAAGCTTCCACTCTAACCAATAATTGAAGCAATATTTTTATATTGCTGGCCTAAATGTGTAACTCCCGAAGGGAATTTTAAAGGTCAGCTCTCAGGATGCCAATAAACCGGGGAATTGGCTCTAATTAATCGATCTTATCATACTGATTAAAGTGATTTCTTGAATATATTTATGTTGCTATTACCTTAATAGGCATGGATATGGTAGCGCATACTACAACAAACAGTAGAAAATTGGGGTAATTTTATATTTCTTTTGTCTCTACTCCCAGATTTCATTAGGAATAATTCTTGTTAATTAGGAATAAAATTTATTTCTTACTCTTAATTATCGAAATCCCACATTCTAAGACTAAAGGAAATGGAGGTTTCAAATTTAATACAGGTTTATGATGATTAATTAAACCCCCAAGATTTTTTCTGCAAATTATATTTCATAGTTAATTGTAGATTTCTAGTACTAGTTTACCAAAAGTTCGTTGAACCAATTTAATTAACCAGTCCTCTTACTAAATAAAAATTTTGCTTTTTTTTATTTTTTTCACTCGATTTAACATATTCCGCCTGAATAAAAAGTGTTATCTTACTTTCATTTTGCCAATGAAACGCATTAGATAGGAAAAAATTAAGATTTCATTATTCTTATAACTGTTTTAGACATTAAGCAACTTTTTGGTACACTATAGAATCTCAGCACAAACGGCTAGGAAATGCCATTCCTTCGAAACCTTTCTTTAATTCAGTATCTGTCTCTGTTAAGATCATTAATTCAATGAGATAAACATGGCATTTAATAATTGGCACAGAATCTCCTATACAATTCAGATATTATAAGATGCTGATTGAAAGTGTTTTACTAGTTGGATGGTAATCGAAAATAGGAGTCTGAACTGAACTTCTGCATCGGGGAAAAATTTTATTCCTCTATAATTCTTGAGGCCTGGACCAAAAAACTTTAATGAAATATAAGTAGTATAATTTTTTCAATTTATAAACGACTAATTTACTATGCCTTAGGGCAAATAGGGCAAGTTACGTTCTGGAACATAACTCACTGAGCTATATAAATCAGTTTAACTCATCCAATTTACTAAAAGTCTCGTTTTCAATTAATATTTTGTTATATTAAGCACTTCATGTTCAATCTGGATATTTATGTGTTCCATTATTTAATACTTCACAATTTTGCTAAATTTGTTCCTTTTTGCAAGGTTCTTTCTCCTATTATTGTTTCTACTGATATTCATACTAATTATTGATACGGATATACATCACTACTGCACTACTCAGCCCGTAGAGAGAGAGAGAGAGTTAAGATCACAGTAGGGTTGTCAATACAAACGGACAGAATATGTTTATGATATTATATGATCAAGTGATGAATAAACGCTGATCTGGTCGTGCTGTGATCTCTCATGGCTCTGACGTAGAAGTGGCCTGATGACGAATTGACTTCGTTACTTCACTTCTGTTGAGCGATGAACATTGTTCCATTCTTGTTACAAAACAGGAGCTAAGTATTTTTTGAAATACCTATTGTCCATCATCTGCCAATCTGATATCACTAGTTGAACTTGTTCTTATGAGACACAGATAACAACCAAGGGTTTGCGAATTCAAAAATTGGTAGACAACTGAAAAACCATGGAAATTTCTCCTTGGAGCAAGATTTAAATTCAAAATGGACTGAAAAATATTCATGCCTACTCCGGATTTTATAGAAGGATTTCGATAGTTGTGAAATTCTGCATGATTAACTTAAATGAAGCCGTTTTGCTATTACTTATATCTGGAAGAAAAGTTTAGTCATTAGCTCATATATCCATTGTAATAAACTTTTGATCTAGTCCTTACCCCCTTCCAACTTCTGAGATTCAAATCATGCATCTTAGATAGAAATTAAAAAATGACATTTTCTAAAAAATTAATGAATAATTGTCTTGAAGGAGAGTTATTTGTCTGCATATTCCTTGAAATAATACTTTGGAGACCTGTGCGCATATTAAACGACACATTCTTATAATATGTGTGATTAAAAAAGAAATTAAGTATATATTAATGCAAGTTTAAAATTCCAGTCCCTTATTTGCATTATATTTAAGTTAAATTGTTGCTACTGTCGAAAACATTGGTTAATTAACGAGCTAACATCGTCTATTACTAAAAGAAGTATATGTTTTTTACATGTCTAGGACAGTTTAACTTGGCCATAGGAGTTTTAACTTTTATGGGGTTTCATTTTTGTTTTTGGTATCAGCATCTTCCTCTTAAGCAAATGTTTTTGGAGCGATGGTGAAATAGTTGAAAGCAGTGTTGTTACTATGGGGAATGCAATGATAGAATTAAGTAGCTTGCTTCGCAGGTATAGCTCATTGTATTCCTAATTGGCTGAAACAATGCCATTAAAATTAATTTTACTTCATATATGATCAACAATTTAAGTGAAAGAAAATTTAATTTTTCAATTAAGTTATATAAATGAATTTTAGGCTCCCTACTATGCGAAGTTCACTTTTCTACTTACCTTAATAAACCGATCTTAACCAGTGGGGCTACTTAATCCATTTGCCCTTTATCAAACTTATAATCTTATCACGTTAGCCCTAACATCGCTTGCATGACAAAAAATTCTATTTTTTATGGCGTTAATATAATATTCATACAAATAAAAATTAGAATTTTTAAGCTTTAATTTTTGGATTTGGCTTTTAAGAAATTTGATTTCTGTCAAAATTTTTGGAATCGGGAATTTTTGTCTTCGAAATTTGATGATCGTACATATAATTCTTCTGGTCAACAAGTTGTAAGCTTACCATCTCAGGTTAAGTTATGACCGCAATAAATACCTGGAAAGTGAGTTAACTAAATGCCTAAAATTATTATTTTATTTATTTTATTTTATTTTAAATGCATGTGATTGATTTTGTAACCGCTAGAGTTAAAATGTGAATGCATCTATATCTGCACTTAATGTTAGTGTAAACCGTACTACAAAAGATCCGATAATACAGAGTATCTGGTTTGTCTCAGGATGGATGATGTATATTTATAGGTTGATCTCATTGCTTAAGTGTTATTATTGTTGATAAGGCTTATTCCGTTTTTTGCACTTGAACAGTCAATCTGGACTAAGTGAAAGAATGACATTTATGTCGATTTTTCTGCTTCGCGTGTTAAGTGTTAACTATATAAAAGAACATTAAAGAACAATAAAAGCCTTTTAAAATGTCGTTATCCTGCTCATTTCTGAAACAGGTTATTGGTAAGCACTGGTGGCATTACCAATTATGGAGCCAAGTTAATGGTTCAATAAGACATGAATATCAAGAACATCATCAAATTTATTACCATAAAAGTTTAGCATTGAAATTTTCAATTATAGATCGTACATCTTAAGAGAATTTGGTAGTCTCAATGCTCCATTCTTTAAGCAAGGTACTGCAATTGATGGCCTTTCTTTTACAACTTGACTCATTTTTCTCTTTTAGTATTTCACTCAACCCATTTTCGTGTTTCACTCTTTCCAATGGTTTCCCATGAATAAAACTTTTAAAAGTTGTGATTAACATAAATAATCATAGTTGGTTTACGACAACTGCCAGGAACATATAGTACGAAATGTTAGGCGCCTTCTCTTGAGATACTCTGGTAATATTTAAAATACCCAGTATTTTTGCTTTTCGAAACATGATAATTGTCAAAATGTCGACAATTTTCGGCATAATAGTTCAATATCAAATTAAAAAGCTCTAAGGTAACTTTTTTCGTGTTATTTTTACATGTGAAATTTTTTTAAACATGTTTATTTTGTTTAATATTGTCTTTTTTTAAATTTCTAGATAGAGCATGTTTCTCTTTCTGGAATACACACAGTCCGAACAATTGAGGACATTTTAGGAGGCAAAGGTAAGTCCGATCTCTTTCTTAATATGTGAACATGTCTATTTCATTTTAGTATCCTTAGTATCAATTTAGGGGAGTATTTAGCGGAGTATTTACTTATTAATTTATTTACTACATTTCACTTCTATTTACTACTCTGCTCCTTCCCCCAAAAAATGGTACAAGGAGACTCACCTAATTAATGCGGAAGACGCACTAATTGCAGTAATGGGTTATGCTATTTGCGTGTAAATAACAAGCCTTTTGAAAATTTATTTGGTAAGGTATTAAGATATCCTTATTTGCCTCTTTAAAGGAGCAGCGAATATTTTACGAATTTTGTATTAATTCCGTGCACATTTTTGAGGCTGTATATTTTAAATATGAAATCAAAAATTGAAAATATACGAAATTGTATCGGGCAGATAATAAGACTTAAATATTGTTTAAATCTAGATTAATATTTTGAGCAATATTTAAATGCTCTTATAGGTTTATTAGTACGTTGAATCGAAAGTTGACTAGCTACAATTTGTAACAAAATGACAATCTGGACATGATGTCTAGTATTAAATAGTATATAAAAGGAAGAAAATACGATTCCATTCTTAAAAAATAATGAACTGCGAATGGTGACTCGTTGTCCGTTAGAACTTCAGGAGAGCAAAAGAGTGCCTTTCTGTTTTAAATTCGTTCTGAAGACGATTTGCGAATAAGGGTTGGCTTAAACTCCGTTTTCACTTTCATTGCTTGATGAGACAGAGATTTGTTCAAGTGTGAGCATTATTTGGCGGGAAAACTCTCTCTGTTGGTGTTGCAAAGCTTTGAGCTGGAAAAGTTGTTTTGATGGAATATTTATGGAAGTGGTTGTTTTTAACTGAACAAAATCACCCTGATTTTAATTCTAAAACATAAGTCGTATAGCTGCGATTGAAGCTTAGTTGGAAAACTAATATGGATTGTTTCAATGGGTTCATAGTAAAAATGTTATCATTATTGCTTAAGTAATTCAAAAAATGTACCCTATAAATTGTGCCAAGGAACTGAAATCGGCAAGCGGAAAGTCCTACAAATGATAAATGGGGTGGGGTCAACACTATACTGAGAGTAACATCAATTTATTCAATCCTTACTTCACTTAGTTTTTGGTTTTAGGGCTGTGCAGTTTGAATTCTACAATTCACACTTCGTGATTTGTTCTTTGGATTATGGTAAATGCATTTTTACGAAACTCAGCGCTATCGACAAATTTTTCAATTAAGAAAGATCGTACTTGTGAGCTAAATTATTTTCTCTCAAAGGATGAGAGTTTTGTTGATGTCCAAGCATAAAAGGCATATGACTGACACCATATGAGTCTCAACAGAAGAAGAAACCAAAGTGATAAATAGCATAATTCAAAACTGTATATCAACTATAAAGTTGCTTTTGTAAAATGGTTCTATTCTTACTTTATCACCACATTTTGTAGTGTCTGAAATAACGATCTTCACAAGATCTATTTACCACCTCTTTAGTTAGCATAATCACAATACCCACTACTATCTTGCAAGTGACTTTCAGGGGATTTGCGAAGTGGAGATTGTGGCATAGTTTGTGAACTCTTAGGCGCTTACTTTACGATGCAATTATTATCTAAATAATTTCTGATTTAAGCTCAAATTATCCTTTCCAATGGGACTCATATTTAGAAAAGACTTCTTAATATTAATGTTACGACATGTTGGGTACTTTTAACACCCTTATTAGAGTTGGTTGTCGACCAATATTTTGTAAAAGAACTATTTATGTAATTTAAATCAAACCATATTTAACGCACCCAAGCTCAATACAAAATAGAATTATTCTCAAATTTTTACCACACTCCATTTAATTTTAGTACCTCCCTTAAGAGTTTTTTAAATTAGCTACCTATTATTGTTTAGACTTTTATATTTCTAAGACTGGGAAGTTGAACTTTTTTGTTGGTTGAATAACCTCTTGTTTAAAGCATTTATCTATGTGAGGGCGATTAATAGTCGCATATGTAGGTCTTTTTATTGTGGCATCTGCGAAACTTTATTTTAAGCCTTTATAAAAGTCATCGCGACTTCGTACTAATATTTCAAAATATGATTGAATTAATTTTGCTCTCCCATTCCATTTTTTAATCATATATAAACGAGTAAGTGAACTCCTGGAGGACATCTCGGCTACTTATTCTATTTCCTATAATTTCTATAAATCCTCAGAGATTCTCAGAGCGAGAAAAAATACCACGGGGGATGAAGGGATCTGTAAGCGATGGTTGTGTGGTTGAGGTAGCGTTGTTCGTTTTCTGGTAATACTACGAAGACCCTGTTTGTGTTTACAGCTTGAGGTAATATAAAGAGAATCACCTTAAAACACAGAGAGAGACATTTCGGTGCAGAGCTACAACAAACACTAGTCGGCTTCAACTAAGCATAAAAATTTCATCTTTAACTGGGGTGTAACCTGGTCACTGTTAAGGCTCATATCAGACTACTAAAACTCAAATAAGCAAACACACTTAGCTAGACAGCTCTGGAGTCACACCTCAAGATCGTATCAAACAAATAAATTGAAAATAAAAACAAATAGTTTAATGTATTTTTCATTTCATTTTATCATTCTAACCATTTCCAATTTTCATAAAAATTTGGGTTCTAGGTGAAAGTAACATAAATCTATGTCTAAGATCTTTTTGGAAATGGACTGCATAGCAAATGGATTGTTTTTTCTTCTGATTGGTCTTGGAACTCGGCCATTTTAACTAGATCCTCTATTTTCATCGAGGTTGCAAGTCCTTTTTTACCGTAATGGATCTAGGATACATTATCTGCATCTCAGCCAACTATTTATTATTTACCTTAAGTGACTTGTAAAATTCTAAATTGTGTATGCATTATGAAAGTCGTATAATGGCTTTTACACATTCTTTTGAAACCATTACAACTAGTTTGTAATTCCTCAATTACTCATTTTACACGATTTTCTTCAATTTCAGGATAAGTTTGTTTTTTTCTAATGATTTTAGTTAACTCTGGGTTCGGAATTGTATTCGCTATGTTGACAAAGCTTCCTTTGGATAGTGAAGATGTCATTCGGCATGTTCGACTCTCCTGTTCAAACTGCCAACGTCGAATGCATGCCTGTTTGAATGATGGTGATGGTTCGACAACAGAAGTATCTACTCTATTCACCTGCCTTACTCCTGACTGTCCACACTCTGGACAATGCTTTGACCCCCTGGACTTGGAGCATGTCATAGTAAGTTATCCCTGCAGTTTTTTAATATATGTAGCAACAAAGAAGTTAACAGATTTTTTTATAATATAGTCATGAAAGTGAATTTTTGAAATGCCTACGGGAATCGCTTTATTGCCCAGATTGTGCGAAGCCATATGCAACCCAAAACTACTTACTTTGTTGTTAATCAGAATGGTTTCTCGATTGTAGTTGAAAGAGATTTTACCATCATCTTACAAATTTTTTATAAGTATGTGTGGTCCTTTGGCAAAAGTCCAAGTTAATGCAATGATGTATGCAATTCACTCATTAATTAAATGAACAGATATAACAAATGTGACGGTCAGTCAGTCTTATCGTTTAACTCTATGATGTGAGCGACTTTATGATACCTTTTATACAAAGATTCAATATTTAATGTGGTTTGACAGGCACATTTATATGACCGTGGTTCCTTAAATTTTGTGCAAACAGTATGTGCTTTACCCTCAATTTCCTCTTCTTCCCTTGCTTAGAGTCAACAGACTTTTTCTTTGTTCCTTGACTTTTGGATTTTTTATCGAACAAAAGCATTTTATTCGCCTGGATTTTTAAGTATTCGCCTTCAATACTCGATGCCAGTCATATTTGATTAGTGGTTAATTCTTTCATGTTTATCAATTTATTCAAGTCTATAAAGTTTAAAAAGTTTATTCTAAATTTATCTATTACATCAAAATGTGCTCAATTTCAATTTTCTAATATTGTTGTTGTTAGATGTAGCATAAATCTTTTGTAAGCTCTAATGATCTTTCGTAATATAAAAAAATGTTTAAAACCCTAATGTTAAAGATTTTTTAATTGAGTGTATTTGTGTTGTATTAACAGTTTGGAAAACCTGCTTGCTGCCAAGTGTTACTAAGCCCACACTTTGCTTTGAAGATTACCAGGGGATTTCATTCCACTCTAGTTATTCTCTCTTACTTTTAAACTGCACTGAAGAAATTGTCTATTTTCAATTGGAATGCGGAATTATTTCAATGTGGATGAACTTCAAATATTAAATTTATTTATCATTGTTTCAATAATTGTTAAACGTGAATATTAGGTGGGAATCGCGTGATATTTTCGTTCAATCTTCACTTTATCAGTTATTCAAACAACATTATTTTGCCTAATTTTCTTGCAGTTGTCGTTTAATTCAAAATAAAACTTAAAATTAGCAATAGTGTGGGCCTAAAAGAGTTGTTAAATAAGGGAAAACTTTCTGTTTCTTTAATTAAAAGACCAGTGTATAAAGCAGTTTATATTTGTGTTGTTGGATGATTTGCAACATGCAATTCTGATTAAAGTTATATCATAGATCTTGATACTGTGTTCTTATAACTTATCTTTAGTGTTGGTTGAAAACAGAGTATTTGAAAGAGTTAAGTAATAAGAAACTGTCACTTAGTTAACTGATCAAATACGTAACACACTTGTTTATTTGAAATATTAAATCACTCCTATTTACTCGGCGCTTGAGGAAATAATGCTATTGTTCTCACTTTTTGATCGCACCACCATCAAACACATTAGCTGTTGTAATATTCCCCATTGAAATTGAAATGTATGTAAAATATGAAAAATAAAGTTTATTTTTGATTCAAAATAAAATCAATGAAACTCATTAGGCGAACTACAAAATTTTACTTAAATTAAATCTCATTCATAACATGTGATGACTGATGAGCTTCTAATTCTGTAGCACATGCATAGTTCATTTGTCACCCGAAAAATAAACAACAGTTTCTCTGTCAATTTAATTTACGAAAATTGTAGCCAACTAATTAATCTCTTCGAAGCTTAAATAGTGCTAAGTATCTCCATTCGACTGTTCATGGGAGTTAATTTGTCAATTTCAGTAAAAAGGTTAAAAATGCTTGTTCGTTCCACAACTTCATAACTCATTCCCAAAAATCTAGCGAAGTCATGAATTAAAAGGGAAAAGAGGCATACGAAGGAGTCACGCGGTGTATTAATAAATAACAGCCATGTTCTGCGTGTCATTAAATTCTTCTTCAAATTCTTCGGAAAAGTTATCAATTTATCATTATCGTCTAAACAACATTTGTATTGCGTATATGATTTCTATCAATTATAAATTAAAAAGCATGCCAATTGAATAAGTCAAAAGAATTGAAATAATCTCTTATATAGTTTTTCATTATAGTTAGAGTAGGAATAATGTCTTGATTTCAGTGCGATTCCTTTTGAATAGGATTTTTCATCAATTCAGCCTACTGATAGCACCCAAAGTGGTGACAGCCTTTTCATAACTCTTCTCCCCACCCTTCCAATTTCCACCTCCTCCTTACTCTTCCATTTCACCCTCATTACATGCTAGTGTCCTCCATACCTGAGGTCTCGTTCAAAATTTGATCTTTTGATTTAGGAACGGCAGTTGTCACGGTAATACGACTACTTCTACTGACTTTATTTTCTGGTCTATCTAATATCCAGAATATGTGCATTCAAAAGCCATAATTCTTCTTACCTTTTTCAGTTTGACAAAGATTTTTATGGCTTGAATCATAAACCATATTAGCTAATATTGCCAAGGGTTACTTTCCTAAGTCACTTTGTTATGAACACCTTAGCAATACTTTGCATTAATCCTTTATTACAACGTAAGCAATGTTTTCTTCACAATTCCTAAGCCTACACTATTGGTCTTTCTATGTTACCACGAAACTTTACATATGATTGAATTTCCAATACGGTTGGTCAGTTGTCTTGGACCTGATTACGCTTTCGTCAGCTGTTTTCGATATTTACTACCCCAGGCTACAAATGGCACATATCAGTCAGGGTCATATCTTAATGTCAATGGCTAATCACGTTGGAAAATAGCGATAGACGTATGCATAAAATCCACCTAGTCGTCGGTTCATACCATGCAGCTTACAATTGTTATTTTTTTCTACGAAGCGATCATTAACCGACAATCATACCCGGAAGTACATCACAAGTGGTACTAGTCATGACATTTGGAATTGAAATTTTGCGGAATGTTTGATTTCTAAAAGTCGAATGCTTCATCTCATTTAGTAGTTGCATTCAAAGGTGCCGAAGTTCCTACGATGTTGGAAAATATTATTTAGATTTCCCACATGAAATCCCTCAAATGGAACTGCCAACAACACTTTAATTTTGAGCGAGATGCTATTCTGGTGTCGCACTGGTAAGGAACTCGTATCTTACCGCATCTCTCATTAATCATCATCAAGATGATAGGTATTAATCTAGTGACCTCTGGCTTGATGGGTAACCATATCCTCATAATGATTGCTAAAATATCTATGTTAAGTGACTACATTCTGTTTTAAGATGCTTTGGGTAGCAATTTTCGCCGTTACTCGAAAACTACAGTTTTTCCTTTAATAACCCCAATATGAAGTCAGCTTTATTGACTCCGCCATATTGCTCTAAATATTATTCTAAGAAGAAAGCAACCTCAACAAGTGTGGCGTGTACATTATCAAGACAAGAATTTTCATAAAGAGTTAGTCCATTTGTGATCTGGGCTGTCAGAAATAGGGTTGGAATAAGGTTTGATATATAGTGAGTCAATAATATCACCTAATTACTGCTAATATCTTTATCATAATTGACTAAAGATTTTCCCTACGGAGTCACCTCGCGCACTCTCTGTCGCAAGTGTAACTGCCAAGAGTTCGCAAACTTTCATACAATGTTTTGGATCTAATGGATCCTGCCAATTTATTATAAAAAATGTAGTCTTACAATATTATTCAGGAATGAAGGAGGCACACTGAAATCTTTCTGGTCTATGTGTTCTGGAACTCAGTCAGCATTAGGTTAACCTTAGTCAAGTTTTATTTTAACCGTTCGACGAAAATTGTCATAATTCTTTCAACTTTCTACATAGCTACCATTTATTTATAAAAAAATATGATGAAAAATTTTTAACAGCATCTTGGTTCACCATGGACAGCGTCCAACCTTATTATTTGATATGGTCTGATTGCCTAGTTTAATGGGCATCCAATTCAGAATACCATTATACATTAACCAGTCAAGGGGCTAAGTATTCCTTACTGGAAATTAGTTTTACTTAATGCTAGATCCAGTGTAATTGCAGTGAATTTTATTGGCCAATGCTCTAAGCAATAAATTTACCATTGAATGCGCCCTTTTGGAAATTAACTGTCATTTCCAACTGTTAAAATTGTATTAAAGGTACTTCTATACACAGTCCAACTACTTTACCATCTAAATAAACATATTCAGTTTCTCTATCCTCCTTTTTTGCTTGACCAATTCCCATAAGATAGATCCTAGTCATTCCAGATGCCCAGTTAAGAACTTCTGACATTTTTCTTAAGATACATATTCGCCAAGGCGTCGGTGCAATAAAACAAAATCGCTTTTGGCTATTAACGTGATTGCCAATAGGTCTATTGTTTATTCATCGATTGAATTCTATGCCGAACGAAGTGACTCTGTTATTCCAAATATTATGCTTCCAGCTGATACAAATTATGGTGCATATCTAGGGAAAAATCTGTTCACTCTCATTTCCCTTACGGTCATACTGTCGGCACGGTTACATTTCCTATCAATGTATGCGTGCGAACGGCAAAGAATCCGTGATCTCTGACTTCGTACAAGATCACGTTAACCTGATTCCAAAAGTCTAAAGAAAAAAACAATATCCTAAAGAATGGCTAAGAGAGAAAGAGAACGAAAGACAAATTGATCGAAGCACGATACACTAAATTGGGTTGCCGTCTGTTGTATTTTGCTAGTTCGATGAGCCGCTATTGTAAAACTCACTTTGCGATGCCAGCCTTTGTATGTTTGGTCATGCGTTTTTCCTTATTTAATCCCTGCTGCTTCTTCCCATACGCTAACGCTCAATTAGTTCATCATACGCTCTATATTTCTCTTCACCTGCCCCCACCCCCACCCCCACCCCCACTCTCATCTAATTCCATTTTCCCATTGATCAATCAGGCTACCATGTCGATTTCAACTATCTGAAGGTACGATGAAGTAGATTTGTCTTGATTTCTTGAGTTCTTTTTCATTCTAGGTCCATCTGAATTGACCTA